TTCTGTCATTTCACTTCTTGTTTCAACTTCTTAGATGACATGAAGCCTATTATTCACTAGCAAATGATGAATCGGCAAAATAAATCGACAACTGGGAGGATCCTCCTATGAAAAGATAGTCATAGCTTTTCATAGCTACATAACAGACACCAAATTTCAGGACGGTGTTTCGGTGAGTTACAGTTTGCCGACAACGAAGTGACCAACCCCGCGGTTGGTCATTTGACCCGAGGACATCGGCTCGGGGGAATCTCTGCGTCTGCCTTNGCATGAACAATAGTCGCAGCAGTACCGATACTTTGACTCAGACCCCTTCCAGATGAGCTATTTCGTTATTTGTATTTTTAAACACGATTCCTGTGTTTCTGCAGAGAAATGTTCAAAGAACGGCGAGATTCGTTCTTTGCAGAAAATATTTGAGCAGTCCCTGTACTTACCCAGTTTAAAATCCCGGCTGGAAACAGCTATAATTTCCAGCTGGACTCCAGCTGTAAATTCGGACCCATTCCAACTGGGTAACAGCTGGAAAGTAGTCATCTCTCGATTTGTTCCTAATTGCTATATCACTAACTGAATGAGAATCTTTTTGTTTACTATTTTTGTCGGAGGTCCATCTACAGGAAGAGCTGATTTTCAACTGTAAATTTAGCTACATTCCAGCTGTAGGGTCCTCTTTATAAAATTCTAACTGAAAATTTTCCGGCTGGAAACAGCTATTAAAACCAGCTGCATTCCAGTTGGAAAATTCCAGCTAAGAAACAACTGGTACCTACTAATTTCCAGCTCTTTGCCAGCTGGAAATGGTCCGAATTTACAGATTTGGTCCAGCTGGAATATTCCAGTTGGGATTTTAAACTGGGTAGTTTCATCTTAGATTCTACTCTACTATTAAAAAAAAAAAAGGTGCTAAGCACTGCTTGAGTATCGCAATCAGAAGGTTGGGGCACAGTCGGTCCTGCGCACGAGATCGCAAGAACACTATCATCGTAACTGAAACTAATATTGATTTCATGCGAATACTGCTATGGCTCTGAAAGTAATCGGTGCATGAATCCATTCTGCGATCGTTTCGCGAAAACCGGAGCAATTCAAAACATTTTTCTAAGCAATTCTGGCTCTTCTGTTCTCTTCCTCTTTGGGTTCGAACACCTACCTCGAGTTCGGTCCCATTTTTAAAGAGGGTCGAATCCTCGGAAATGAATTTTGGTAGCGTTTGACGTTTGTTTGTGATGGCAGGCAGCGAGACAGTTTATGACATCGCGAATCGTCTGAAAATCGAACCGGACGAAGTGGATCCAGCTCTAGCCAGGGCCTGCGTCGTGCGCGGTTCCGAACTCAGAGACATGACACCAGCCATGCTTGACGACATTTTACGGTAGTTTCCTCCTTGAACACCACTGCCATCCAATGAAAAGCCCCAAACAAGATAACCACGATGTCGTCTCCCCTCAGGAACCATTCCGAAATCGTGTTCGCCCGCACCTCGCCCCAGCAGAAGCTGACCATCGTGGAAGGTTGCCAGCGTCTGGGCGCCATCGTGGCTGTGACCGGCGATGGAGTCAACGATTCCCCCGCCCTCAAGAAAGCTGACATCGGTTCGTCTTCATATATATTGTAGTTCATTAATCTACTGCAATTAGATGTACGTGAAACCTCACAAAAACAGGTTCAAGACCAGAAATACACCAAGGGCGAAGGTCATCAGATGAAGCATTTTGACAAACTTGCTCGTTTGACATTGCATGAGTAGAAATTTATTTATCAGATTATTGTAGATCAATTTCGTGCAACCTCTGGCAAGTTTTAGATATGAGGCTCCTAGTTTTCTGCCGGTATCTCGCATGTTCCCTCTGCAGCCATCTACCTGTAAATTTAAGGATTTTTTTTTTTTGCATGTTAGCCCTTGTGGTACAGGGTAACGAGACGAACGCGTGCAAACATCTGTAATACTTGACTAGGCGGAGACCATGCAAGTGGGAATCTCCTACCCGAACAAATATCCGAGCTGTTTGCGCGTATGCTCAAATCCAACAGCAAAAAATCAGTGGGGTAAACGTAGTACCACTTTCCGTACTTGGGTCTATATTCTCTGGCGCGTTTCGTCTCTGACTTGAATGGGTTTTTCCTTCGTGTCTGATATGTTTCTTATTTGTAGGGGTGGCCATGGGTATTTCTGGATCGGACGTATCGAAGCAAGCAGCCGACATGATCCTGTTGGATGACAATTTCGCCTCCATCGTGACCGGAGTGGAAGAAGGTCGGGTGATCTTCGACAACATGAAGAAAACGGTTGCATACACCCTCACGAAAAACATTCCCGAGCTTGCGCCGTTCTTGCTTTTTATCGTTGCTTCCGTGCCACTGCCTCTCGGGACTGTCACTATCCTGTGCATCGACTTGGGGACTGATTTGGTGAGTTGCTCTTTTATTGCTTTATTTTTCTCTTGCTGTGAAATTTGCCTTTGTCACTGTGAGTAAGAGAGGGGTTTAATGACGTTACATTCTGTCATTTCACTTCTTGTTTCAACTTCTTAGATGACATGAAGCCTATTATTCACTAGCAAATGATGAATCGGCAAAATAAATCGACAACTGGGAGGATCCTCCTATGAAAAGATAGTCATAGCTAGGTGCTAGGTGACTGAGGAAAAACGTTTGTTTCACTTGTTTGTTTCACTTCTGGGGTGGTACTCTTGTTCAACAGACACATGAATCCCAGTTTCACTTTCGAGATGTTGGGATTTCTTTTTTTGCAGAATTTTTTGTTTGTTTTCAATGAGGTGTGTGTGCATGCGTCTGCACCCAGCTTTCAGCAATCATATTTGGCGGGCATAATTAAAGGATGAGCAATAACAGACACCAAATTTCAGGACGGTGTTTCGGTGAGTTACAGTTTGCCGACAACGAAGTGACCAACCCCGCGGTTGGTCATTTGACCCGAGGACATCGGCTCGGGGGAATCTCTGCGTCTGCCTTGTGACGAACACGAATCATGAGTCATTTTACTGGGTGGAATTTACAGTGAGGAAAATTTTCGATTTGGAATGATTGCGATTGCCTGTTGTGCCTGGGAACCTCAAAGTACGGCTTTGCCAAGATGAATGAACTGGATAAAGGGTTATTGAAAGAGGAGAACTGGAATGCTGAAACGTCTTAGTGCAATATTTAATTATTAAAATAAAATATGTTTTCCCATTTTGTGCCCTCTTCCCGTGGAAGATGCGAAGTTTCATTTAGTTCCGATCTGCCAATATCGAGTTATGAGCAATTACCAGACATGGAAAATTGAAAAATAAGGCAAAGACACGAATTTAAAGAGAGTTTGTCTCATCGACGCATCGATCGTCCTTCGATCGGCGGAAGAAAGTTCAAAAACATGCCATAAGTTTGCCTAAAGAATGAAAACGAAAGTTAGTCTAAATAGTGGATGAATGACTCGTTGGCCCAACTGGTGCTACAAGACATCTGCCTTAAAATTTGGGGAATGTGTGCCAAATGTGTGCCCATTCGGGACTTATAGCGCCCATGCCGATCTTTGGACCCAGTCCCGCTTCTGCGCTCGAATGATATACTATATATGATATAATAACTATATTTTAATGAGATTTCTTGGAATGACTACATAATCAATTGGAATAACGAAGGGGACGCAGGCGGGATCAAGCCATCACCTTCCAATTAATTTCCGAATTCCCAATTAGATTTGAAAGATTATGACTCGAGCATTCCCAAAACCTCTTTTCTGAAACGGAAAAATTTTCACCCTCTAGCTCCCGTCCGTCGCACTCGCCTACGAAAAAGCCGAGCCGGACCTGATGCAACGGCAGCCCAGGAATCCCTTCACGGACAATCTGGTGACCGATCGGTGAGTTTTTGCACCTCGTGCTCGGTCGTGAAAACGTTTGAAATGCCAAATTGCTCTTGAGCGGCTCGAATTGGATGAACTAATGGAGAGAGGCGCCCATAATCTGGTAAACATGATTCCAAGCTCGAGTACTTATTGCTCGAACTGCATGTCCAAATTTGCAAAAATTTGGAAAAAATTGTCACGTCTTCACTGGTAGATCCTCGTGGTAGAAAAGCTGTTTCGTTTAGCGTGTGGGCACTGCAGATGAAACGTATCGACTGAAAAATAAGACAACTCTAGCTGCAGTAAAAAAAAAAGAAAAAAAGAGGGCTAATGTAAATATCTAAACAATAATAAGCGAGATTGCTATGACATTTGAGCAGTTGAACCACAATTCTCGAGTATTAACGGTTGAGGGCGTCGGTACCTGTTTTACGGGTTAAGAGGGGCGAGTTTCGTCTCGGGCTAGCCCTTTTAAGTTTCATGCAGCTGCTCGTCGGCTGAGTTTTTTTTTTTTTCGGAATGGGATTGAATGTGCGATGGTTTTGGGACTGTTCGGTTCTGATTGGGAACGACTGTTTCGTTCGCAGACTGGTTTGCATGTCGTACTTCCACGTCGGGATCATGCAGATCGGGGCGGGATTCCTGGCGTATTTTATGATCATGGCGCAGAATGGGTTCAGGCCTTCCAGGCTGTTCGGGCTCCGGCGGCATTGGGACTCCAAGGCGATCAACGATCTGGAGGATTCGTTTGGCCAGGAATGGGTGAGTCCGAGGGAAAACTCTCTTCTTTTTGGTTCGTCGAGGACGGAGTTGGGAGTGCTTCGGGGTTTCTTTTTGCAGACGTACAATGATCGCAAGGTCTTGGAATACACGTGTTATACCGGGTTCTTCGTCGCGATCGTGATCGTGCAATGGGCGAATCTCATCATCTTGAAGACGCGACGAAACTCGTTGTTCCAGCAAGGAATGACGTGAGTCGATTTCCGTCGGCGTGAGAGCGGCGAAGGGGAACCGGGAAGTTCAGCTTTTTCTGTGTGCTTTCCATTCCCAGGAATTGGGTGATGAACTTCGCTCTCGTGTTCGAGACGGCCGTGGCCGTTTTCATGTGCTACACACCTGGTATGGACAAGTTCCTCAACATGCACCCGCTCAAGTAGGTCGAGTTCTCTCCATCTCCCTACAATTTCCTCGCCGCTTTCACAATTCCTTTTTTTTTTAGATTCATTTGGTGGTTGCCTGCCTTGCCCTTCTCCGTTCTCATCTTTGCTTACGACGAGCTTCGAAAGTACCTGATTCGACGCAGCCCGGGCGGATGGGTCGAGAGAGAAACGTATTATTGACGAGGAAGATTTTGAATTTCATCCATTCGCGCAGGCTTTTCTACAGAGGTGATGCGATTCGGGGCGCATCGTCGCTGACCCCGCCCCGCCCCGCCTCCTCAGACCTCACGAAATTTGACAAATGGTTTTCCTTTTCTTTGTGGGACTCTTGCCCCGTGCCCCCCCTCGTCGATATGCAAACTGCAGCTCCGGTCCCTTGAATAATTGCTCAATTGCTCGCACGAGGTCTGGAGGAATAAGATGTTAACGAATCGACGGAACCTTTTTAGAAGTAATTGTATCGCGTTCCCGTGCCACGACCATTTCTCTTTTGGTTTGTCCGTTCCTGCTGCTGCTCTCGACTCGAATTTGGTTCTTGATGAGCATGAAAAGATCTGAGAAAAAGACTTTTGTAGCATATTTTATGACAGGAGCTCGGCCTTTTTCATTTCACCCCGTCCCCTTCTCTCCGAGAGAGAGAGAACGTCTTTATGAAGTGGATCGGCCGACTTGGAAGTTTGCATGGCGTCGTCTTGCCATCTAGAAGATGGGATCGAATCTTGCGAGGTTAACCCTTTCAGTCTTGAATCGCTATCGGAATTATAACTTTTTTTTTGCATTTTTGAGCTCTTTTGTGATTTTCTTTGAAAATTTCGTGCTTTTTATGTAGTTTTCATATTTTGTATAAATTTACCATATCATACCATATATTATATATTAAACATTTAATTAAAAAAGGGGGAAACGGGGATTTTGCAAATCGCCCGTTTTAGAACCTTCTACTTATGAATTTCTTTCTCGGAAACTATTGCAGATGCAGAAATAAATAAGCTACAATATTTCATCTCTCTGACGGGAGGATCGCATATTTTTTTTTAAAAAATCGAAGACTATGACCCGACAGGCCGTGCCAGATTTGAAATTGGAACTGATTCATTTTCTGTGTTTTGTTGTGTTTCATTCAAATTAGTTCCAATTTGGAAAATTATAGGCTTTGGGGAAGTATTTTTTTCTTTTACCTGTCAGCCCCTGGAATCGAGCAGTAAAGCAAACACTGAAACGGAATACAGGTGACCGAACAGCCCCACCCCCTGGGGCTAATTGGTCACGCCTGGGGCTAATTGGTCACGTTAATTTCTAAATTCTCTAAGCTAATATATCAATCTGCCAGATTTCGTTTAGGGCTTAATAAGTAGTTGAATGACACGGCCGTTTGAGTTTCCAAAGATTTTTGTGTTATTATTTTTTATAATTATAATTGGTTGTGGAGTAAGATAAACGAAAAATCATGACCGATTAGCCCCACACTACCCTACATAATATTGAGCATGAGCGTTGTCCCGCACGGCGATTCAAGCCTTCTTATGAAGAGTGCCTCTGACACCAGTTGCATTTTGTGGTCTCTATGATGGAAATTACACCATACGCTTATTACTCTCATCGCACCATACCTGCAAAGTTTGTGTTGGCCTCCAATATTTGAGCCCGAATATTCCATACCGGTTGTAATAACCGAGTGCGGAGAAAAAAACGCGCCGTGTTGGAATATTTACAGCAGGAAATCTGTCAAAGCTACAGCCGTGTACGTCTTATGCACCTACTTGTAAACATTTCCACGGAAGAATCGCTCTTTGAACGGACTCTGTGCACACTTGTCCATGAAAAGAAACCGCATTGTGATCATCCGGGCTCTGGTAGTTACAGGATTAAACCATTAAACTAATAGGGGCACACGACAAGTCGAGGGGGAGGGAACCTGTAGAATTGGAGCTAAGTCAATACATGGGGTTAACCATGGGGTGAACGCTAACCGGAAATCGAGTTGAAGTCCGACGTGTCTTGCGCCAATACATCATACACAAGTGTGAGTTTCGGATTTTAAGTAATTCATTCCAGAGTGCAAATTTTATTGGTATGTCCGGAAGAGAGCACGTGACGACATAGGTCGGATTGTGACGACATTCGTCTTCCATTAAGTGGAAGGATGTGAAATGGAACAGAAGTATATGTTGGCCTTAAAAATCCAAAATGAAATGGCATGTAAGATGCAGCTATAAATGCCGAATAAAGAATTGGTATAAATATCAAGCATGTAGGACTGCTGCAAAAAAGATGCGGGAATTTTTGACATTTTAAATTTCTCCAAGGACAATCGGAATTGAAAGCAGGAATCCATGCCTTCACTCACTTTGCACACGCGATTCCGTGAAAGAGGAAAAATTCAAGAGGAACGGGACTTTCTGTCCGGGAGCTGCATTGCCAGACTAATTTGCTATGATTTTTTCGGCGAAATGACCGTCATGGATCTGTTTTTGCAAATTACTTCGGCGCTCGAGAAAGGAGGTCTATGAGGTCTGGATTACTCGTTTCCTTTCTGGATGACAAAAATACTTTCAAGTTTTTCTTTGTGACATGTAACTACAGGTTTTTATTTTCGTTTGTGTTTTTGTTTCAGGTTAAAGAATGGCTAACAGACTAACATTTTAATAAAGGGCCAAAATAGCTGCCTGCTACGATGTTTGGGGATCAATAATTAAAGTTCAGCGATGGTGGAGGGTTGAAAATGGTCCTCATGCAACACTGGATGCTAAGACAGTAAATAAATGTCATCCGAAGTTAATGACAACTGGTTCAATAACAGACAAGATTAAATCATGACGACCATGAACCTTGCAAACACCTGAAAACACTTGAAAACAATTGAACGCAATGTTTACAACAACTTGGTGAATCAGTTCATGCAGGCACTCGTTCTTAGTGAGCTGAATGAAATCTTAATGAACTTGAAAGAATCAACAATGCTCTTCATAACGTACCTCAACACGTTACGATCAGCCGTGGGAAACATACCCGTTCGCTTAAGGAAATGTGTTGGCAATGCAGGAGCAATGTGGAAGTGTGTGGATTAGATGAATAAAAACTGGTGAAACCTCACTAACTGGTGCATAATTCCGCTAAAAAATAAGAGTTTCAAGCATTTTAAAATAGGGAGTTACTTTTCATACACTCTGTATATCAAACATGTCTAGAGCCAATGCAGCTTTGGAATCCAGGGGTTATCAGCATCTGAAAATTTTGAAAATGCTCAATGTTTAGTATACATTTAGTGTTAGCTTTACTTGACTAATGCATTTCAATGACTTTGTGAAATCTCCACTGCACCTGTTGGCCATGTACAGGGCGTTAAAAAAAAGTTCAGGGATTTTATTTGCACATTATGAATAAAAGCAAAACTACACTTAATAGTTAATATGCTCTCAATAACATGGAGAGTCAGGAATTAGGTAACACAGTTATCAAGAGATTACATTTCTCGAGTGACAGTGTTGGAAACACCAAAGGTCTGGGAAAATTTCAGTATTTGCAGTACTCCCACAGTCACCTGTTTTGAGCAAAGTATCACAATGAAAAGGACTTGTAGTAGAGAGATAATAGAATGGCAGCCTCTAAAGCAGAGCCTCCCTAGAGGCAAAAGTAAAATCTAACCTATTCCTTCTATGGCCCCATTTGAGATGTATAGATTGATTAAAATAAGGATGGAGCCAATGCCAGGAAGGTTCAGGAATAAGGCAACCATTTTGTTATGGCATACCAAAATTTGACAGCTGATTCAGACTCTCTGGGGAGGGTTTTTGTCTGGTAGTCTTTTGACACAATAATCTATGACCAAGTCATACCTAGATATTATGGACTTGTAGGTGGCAGATCTTGGTAAAACAGCCAAAAATAGTTAACTACAACAACTGGCAAATTTCACTCAGAAGTATCCAGAAATTAAACATTGTGCTTTTCTATTGTGTATGCTTCTTTTCAATTTGGAGCTGAAAAAGCTGCAGGACTTTTGCACGCCTCTGGTGTAGGTACACAATAAGAAAACATGTTGCAGAGCAATAAAATTGGAGCATATTCAATAAAAAGTACATGCAGAGGGATCAAAATACACGTAAGACATGGCATAATTGGCATTAAATATATTATGAATGAAATATATATTGAAGAAACGATCCTTGGATGAGATGCAGATAAACATTCTGGCAGATTCCAAAGATGAATGAACTGACTAGCATCAATACTTTCCCTTAGGCTCATAGCATCTTCCGTCTTGTGGAGGTATACCTCTCCGTATACTGCAAAGAGAGTAGAAAGGAAAAGATTAACTGAATTAACTGTACACTGTTACAAATTGCATACTACTTATCACTTACATTTTCATAGCCTTCAACTTCTGATAAGGCCTTCGTGCTGAATAGGTTCCCTTCCACGGCCAAAAGGGAAACATTTGAACTAGCAAGTAAGGCTTTTGGAATGGCCTCCAGCTGCAAACAGTTTTCTTCAAGGCGAAGTGTCTTCAACCGTGGACATCTAGCCACGTCTTCTGAAAGCCTGGAAATCTGGTCACAGATTGATAATGTGAATTAGGACTGCGAGCCTTGAAATATTTAAGCACTACAAAATATCTGTGCTCTTACTTGATTCTGGTTGGCATTAAGTTCTGAGACCTGAAGTCCAGACACACCTTCAGGGATTTGAGTCAATTCATTACTTGATAAATCAAGGAAGTCCAAAGATGTTAGTCCACAGAGGACAAGAGGAAATTCCTTGATGTTATTACCACTAAAAATAAAAACAGAAAGCAATATAATAAATAAAAACCAGTAATCCCACGCATTACAATGACAAATAAACCAATAGAAAAACTTGCCTCAGGTTGAGGGAACGTAACTGGCGAAGACCAGCAAATGTACTAGGGATTTCTCTGAGAGAATTAGCAGACAGGTTGATCTGCTCGAGTTTCTTCAGCTCTCCAAGAACTTCTATGCCAGATGCTAAACAAATCACACCATTTCAAAGTTAGGCACAAAAATTTGACAAAGAAAGTCAAATAACTGGAAATGGATTGTTCCAGTTAACGGTATTTATAATGGTGAGAATATAGGTATTATTATGACCAGACTGAGAGGATTGCAAAAAATGGGCTACTGACTTATCCGATTACTGCTCAGATTGACATGTTTCAAGTTCCCAAATTTCTTGATCTGTTGTGGAATGTCTTTGAGTTTGTTGGCTGAGATGTCCAAGCTCCTTAGGGTTATATTACGTTGAAAAAGCTCCTCAGGCCACTGAAAGAGACGAGAAAAAATGGGAAAACCAGATTATTTCATTCCAAAATTCATAAATTACTTAATTAATTAGTGCATAGTGAGTTATACTCACTATGTTTGGTTGAACAAGATGACACGTCATTTATAAATCAAAATACTGAACTTTTAATAATATATAACTGCAGGATGTCACCAGTAAAAAATTTTTTTTTTTAGAAATACAGGTCCCAAAACAATTTTTTTATGAAAAGAATATAAATTTACATTACCTTTTCAAACTTCTTGCCAGAGAGGGTGAGAGCCCCAGTTTTTTCAGCAGTCTGTAAATGCTGCTGCACGTAGCCTGATGAAGAATTTCCCATATTCAATTATTCACACCTCTAGAATAAAATGAACAGCTAAAGCATCTAGAACAAGACAAAAGCAACAATTACAGAAACTGGATTAATGAAATGATTAAATACAACTACCTAAGAAAAATAATACATAGCATCAGAACTCACTGAAAAAATATATCCATCATTAACACAGCAAGTCCTAGTGAATTGAATTAATTTTCATCATTAGATGAATTTGAGGAAGAAATTGCACTCTTCCTCTTTTCGCAGCAATGAACTCAGAATTTCATTGCAATAATAAATCTCATGAATTTGGGAAACAAATTCTTGGCCTTAGAATTTTTCCCTCTCTTTTTATTTTGTCAATGATTTGAACTGCAGTTGTGAATGCTTTTATACACTTAATTTCAGACATAGAAATGCATTCATAGTGACTTTTTCTTCTGAGTAACAGTATCATGAGCTTGCTTAAACAAGTTATTGATGTAGATTCCCTCTCCAATTTCATTCTTAAACTCTTCCAACTTCTTTACTTCCCTTGCTTTTGAGGCTTCATCACTGAGTCTCCTGCTTCTCCTTTTTCCATCTTGGATGATCTCTTTATTCTATGTCTTAAGCTAATCAAATTTCAATTTCCTGCATGCTCTTAACAGTCATTCCCAAGACACTTAGGCCTATACATAAATAGAAGTAGATATTTGCCATGAAAGACACTGAAATTCACTGTTGCAGCTGGAAGGCAGTAAGCATTCTGGTTCCCCCTATATCTTGAGATGAAATGCAGTTAATTGCTGATAGCAGAGGAATATAGCAATAAGTTACAGGCAAGGAGCAACGATCTATTTTAAACGGAACATCAACACTACTTCACAACTTAACATGAGGTTGCAGTGGAAAATATGGAGCCCATATTAATAGGAAGAAAGCAGAGCAGGCCCTATCCATTAAAATGCTTTCGCAGTTACACAAATGTTGTTTTGAAATTAAAGTTATGCATCAAACAAAATCAAAAATTTAGTTACATTATGTTTTAAACCAAAATTGACAATTGACAAAATATCTAAAACGTTTCCTACATTCTCAAATGCAGCAGCAATTCAGGGTGCATTCCATGAATTCTGGCATAAAATGAAGCATGAGACATTTTAGTAGGAGCTCCCACTCTATAGCTGCATCCTATTAGGGGAAATTGAGAATTTAATACCCTCTCAATCCTAATTTATAACCCCTGCTGTAACTTTCCAGATGGGCCACAGCTGTAAATTAACACTCATCCAAGAAGCCAGGGAGAACAAGTCTGGATCCAACTTAATTTTATCACTTAAAATAGGAAAGAATTCATGGCTACAGCCGCTTCCTGCTGGGTCGTTAGGCCAAAAAAAATCTTCACCTTCCTGCAATTGCGGCTTGATGGCGCCAGGCCCTTAAACCCAGATAGGCTAAAGTATGTTCTCAAGGCATAGGCCGAGAGCCTGAAATTATTATAATAACACATGCTAAGCTACGGTCGATGGGATGAGAAACTGAATACTTGAAAAGTTTCGAGGCGAATTGGGAACGGCAAAATCCCGAATCACGTGGTCTGTGCACCCATATGGCAGCAAAATGCGTTATTTCTCCTTTAAACAATTTTTTTCTTTCACATCAAACAAATCATGTACGACTTGGAAATTTGTTCGCTACTCCAAAATTTTCCCACTTATTCTTTGTCGGCAGAGCATACTCTAACGTTCTCGAGAGGAAGGAATATACGAAGCGGCCGTGGACAATACAAACAGACATCGAGCAGCGTTGCATCCATGTGCAAGCAGATGGCATGGCTGCGTTCAGGTCTCTATTAGGCCTAAATCCTATATTCTAACAAACTCTGTCCCCCTTCCGACTGGAGTCGGCCTGTCCTGCAATAGATTGCACACTAATTATCTAGAGCTATTAGACCAATCCTGTTTTCATTGCCGCGTCTTGGCAATTCGTTCTCCACGTGTGGCCCATTAATGCACACCCTTGCCTGATAAAACGTCATGAAGTCGGGGTCCACCGACCGCATCATCGGGACCGATGATGTGGAACTGAACTCCTTGCTGGACCAAGGAGATGCCCAGAATCACATCACCATTATTCCCGTGGAATACCCGCCTTGGTCATATCCCCAAGATTTTCCCCCTGGACATGTCGCTCGGTCAGTTTGCTCGTGCTCGCTTCTAATCCGCTCTTTCCGAAGAAGACTGAGAAATGTTGAGGCTGAGCTCTTGTACATTCTAGGGATTATTTGAGAGAAAAAGTCAGAGAAGAACTTCGTCAGTCCCTGGATCATTTGAACAATGATCAACCTTACTCATCACGGCTCACCTGTCCTGGGGCAGCAAGTCCTGCTAGATCCATGGGGAACAGGGTTCATCTGGATGACAAACTTCTATCTGAACCACTGGCCAGAGTGACTTCAGTATCCCGGTCTTCTCACACCATCAGATACAGGCCCAAAGGTAAGCAGTTTTAATTGCTCTTTTTCATAGGATCAGTTCCATCATGGTGTGCATAGGCAGATGCCTTGGCAATTTTGAATGAAAGTCATGCCATGGTGATGGTTAGCTACTACAAAGTTGCAAAGGTGACAGTTTTTTGCCCTCCTTTTTCTTCCTGAAGATATTTTACCCCTTGGCATTTCACATTGTTGGTCTTTCCACAACGAATCCAATTTCTTATCACAGAATTGGAGATGTGTATCTACATGATGTCTGGTGTGTGCATCCGTCTCCAACTGGAAAAAGGTCATCAGGCAACTGTCTCACAAATCATCAACGTATTTGTGGGAGATGAGGAACTTGGCCTCCCTGCTTCAGCCAAAGAGTACTTCACCCTTTGGATGGTATCACCTTTGCTAGGTATGTGACACTATCTAGATGGTTCTCATTATACTTAGATGTAGAAGTACAAAAGCTTAAAGTACTAGATGCATTCCAAATTATATCCAGTTATGTATTACATTCTTTGCAGCCATAAGACACCTTTTTTTTTAATGGCCTTTTTTTCTGAAGTCACTTATAGTCACATATATGTCTGTCTGTCTCATACTTTAATTGTTCAAGAATAACTAAAGAAGTATTGACTTGACCATTGAGAAATTGCTTCCTAAAACCACTCTCAACCAGCCACCTACTCCTGTTCCCAACAGTCTTTGGAAAGAGATCCACCACTGAGTTGTGCTTGCCCAGCTCGTTAATTCTCAATTTTCTGCTTAGGGAAGTGAAATGCAGTTATTTCTATAGAGAAAGGGCCACTAAGCAAGACATGTATTTTTAGAGAATTTCAGCTGTCTGATGGTAGAGAGTAGATAATACCTAATATAATTGACAGAATAGCTTAAGGGTCAATATTCTGTAAATGTTATCAACATCGTTATGGTGTTTCATTTGAGGTTGCAAATACATACACAGTTTACAATTATTGAACTTGTCTTCATATTGTCTATGGCACAGAGCTGCAGATGAAACCCCATCATAAGCCTATGCATGTGCGCCAGAAGTGGCAGGAACTCCTAGATAGATTCAGTCAAAGCAGTCAGGTCGAAAGGCAGGTGGATGACCCTGTGGTTGTGCTGAGGCGCAATGTTTTCCTCTTCAAGTGTGATGAAGTCAAAATCAGGTGAGCTAATCACTGCCATAAGCATATAATTTCCTCCAAGAACTGAAATAGATGTGCCCAAAAGCTACTTCTACATGTTCTCTTTCATGCAGGGAACCAAAGATTCTGGAATTGCTGTATGAGGAAGCAAGACACAATGTTCAGAGTGGACGCTACCCATGTGAAGTAGTTGATTACGAAATGTTAGCTGGTCTGCAGGCTAGGATTGAGTTAGGCCCTTATGATGAACAGATTCACACATCAGATTTCTTCAGGTAAGAAATGTTATCCATCGATTTTCAGGTATCAGTTGAAATATGACATGGAATTTAAAGTTTTTTACTTCCTTTTAGAGCAAGACTGAGGGAATTCCTACCAGATCATTTGTGGAAGGGTCAATGGCTTCAGCGAATTCCATTGAGAGGCAAAACTACACCTGAAATGAGAGTCCTGGAACAGTTCCGCAGGATTCCCACTTCATCTTCCCGCCGCAAGCTCATTCGCAAATATTTGGAGTTCTGTTGGTCGCTCCCTTACTATGGGTATGTGGATGTCAATGCACACACTTATACCTGTCCATGTGATATGATGATGCAACATTTTCCCTTGGTTCATTCCACTAGGAGTGCATTCTTCAAAGGGCAGATTGAAGGTAAAGGATCAGGTCTGCTGGCCTTAATTTCTCAATCAGACCACCCTGTCACAGTGGCTATAAATAGGGAGGCTTTATATGTCATCAATCCCCTCCAACATGTGAGTCCCAGAGTTGTCTCTGTTCTTTTTGTTACCTTCATGAGAAAAGTCATATCTCTTCGTTCAACAGAATGTCTTGCTGGGCATGCGCTACGAGGACTTCTCGTGGGACTATGCCCGTCCCTCTGAGGAGAGAGACGAAGATTGTCTTCCCTGCCTCTTCATCCAGTTTCCACACATTGATAATGGTGTGAAGACTTCCAAGATCCTTCAGGTCTTTTCGAAGCAGGTGAGTCTTTGTTGTTTTGATTAATGAAGGATGACTTGGCAGGATGTGCACTGCAGCTATAAGTCTCTTTAGGCTGTCCTGATGGATGCCCTGATCTCCAACTGTGTTGAAGATTTGAAACACAGAGACTACTCAGATGGATCATATGAAAGTTCTACTGACCTTGATGGTAAGAATAAAGTTTTTGCATTTGCATAATATGCACACTCCAAAAATGAATGAAAGCATGAATATGTATGACAGGAAAATATAAGATAAAATAATGTACAGGGTGGCCCATAAGTCCCAATTGGTTATGATAAAAGTTTAAAAAAATCTGTCTATGCGTTGAAGTGGATGGTTCTAACATGCATGCACTTCCAGGTAGTCCTCCTCACCACTAAGAAATATCAGTGAATCAAGTGAACATGGGGATGGATAAAAGTCCATTCATGATTGAAGAACATTTGGTTGCAAGTGTTTGGGTCCATGAAAGAAGAAATATGGGAATTACATTTTTGGATATCAGGCGAGATTTTTTCATGCGTTTTGGGAAAAAAGAGAGGTGAATCTTTGACTCCTTGAAAGAAAAACATTTCAGACAGGTTCAGTGCTGGATTCAAAACAAAGTGGTTGGCCAAAGATGCAAGGTGATAATTCTGTTGAACATTTGGATAAATCAATCACTCAATCACCAAAGAAGTCAACTTGAAAAAGATCATCTGAACTGAATGTACCTAGGTCATCAATGCAACAAGTTATGAAAAAGGAAGGTGGCAAACATTTTAAGCCATTAGCAGTGAATGAACTGAGTGACAGGGACATGGGTAAGTGGCAAGAAGCATGTTAAATTTTGCTGAATCAATTTCCTCCCCTTGTTTCTTGCCATTTTGTGCTATTCTCAGAAGAATGTGTGTTTTATTTGAGCAATTGTTCATGGAATGTGTATTTTGGGAGAAAATCTCCACTACTGTAAAGAAATTCAGCAACTTCCCCCACATGTGAGGCTATGGGCATGAGTTACCAGTGAACTCATCATTGGTCCTTACTTCTTTTTGGATGGTGGAATTGCTGGAGAAAAAAAAAAACTTGGATATGCTTGAACACTGGCTTATTCCTGAGTTGGACAAATGCAGGTTGATTATTAATGCTTTCTTACAAGAGCCCATTACTTTTTCACAGTAAGAGGATTTTTGTCTTGGCATTCCCTGTCTGGATTGGTCAATCTGGTCTCTTACCTTGGCCCGCCTGTAGCCCCAATTTGACAACGTACAACAATTGGCTTTGGTTGTTTATAAAGAAGCAAGTGAGCAAGGTGCACTTGCATAATGTGGAAGAATTGAGAGCAGCCATCTGCAACGTGCTTATCATTGGTATGCTTGAAAATACAAGGAGACTGGTCTCCTCAAGGAACTCACTCTTATTCTCCATGACTGCTAGCATGTAAAGTTGCAACTGGTAGACATTGAATTATATATGCATCTCTCCAAACTCAAAGTGTACTTCCCAAATGTATTAAGCTTTCCATTTTGAATTTATGTAATGGGGAGCTAAATATTGAGTGGCACCCTTTATTTAGATCAATTTAAAGGATGATGCCTTGCCCTTTTTTTTTTCCTGAATTGATACTGTTATTGGATCCTTTGTGATTTTATTCTTACTTTTCTTCTTTTTTTGGAAAAAGATGTTTTGGTCCCACTGACGACTGTTTCTCGAAAGGACATCTCCAATTCCTGTCTCTCCAATAAGCTTCAATTGCTCTCCCTGGCAACTTTCAATGAGAAAGGTGGTTTTTTTTCTTTATTCTCTCATGATCTTCTTTGCCCTATATTCTTATGGGAATAATCTTTCTTGTGTTCCCTTCAGGCGAATGCATTGGAACGATGGGATCCTGGTCCTTCATCAAGTAAAAAAAAAAAAATTGCATTCACTCACATCTAGTCTGCACATCTACATGTACAAACAGTGTATTGTTTATTGATCTGGATTAAAAAACCAAAAATCTGCATTTTTGATCTCAGAGCATCCCAGTCACACATCTTCCATGACACTCAAAACACCTAGTCACCATTGTGTTCACATTCATTTTTTCTTTTTCCGTGTTATTGATGTATTGCACTTATAATGCTGGAAAATAAAGCTTCCAGTTTCTCATCATCATGCAATTCAAAATCATGCTCATGATGCAGTGATTCCAAAAGATATAAGATACAGGCATCAAAAAAGTTTTACACCATCCCCAGATCTCTACAGGGTTCTTGCTGCAATATTTTTGGTTATAACTTTGCTGTATTTCATCTAAATTCCATCAAAATTTTATCAAACATAATAAACACATATGGCAACAATATACTATTTGGATTTTTCAAAATGTCCACCATTGGCTGAGATACAGGGTTTTAACCTTTTTGGAAAGTTGTCCACAATAGCTGTCAGCTGTTCAACCTTGATGTCATCCCAAGTCTTAAGAAAACCCTTCTTCAGCGAATCCACACAGCTGTGCTGAGCAGGACTTCGTCTCCAAAATGGACCACACGGCATAATCCATAGGTGAGTTTGAGCACCAGATGTCCTTCCCCACAGATTTGGAAACAGCTCCTCCTTGCAGAGCTCCATCATTGTCTTTGCTCCATGCGTGGGCACCTAGTCTTGTTGCAGCGTCCATTCATTTTCACCGAAATGGTCATGTGCCCAGGGGTCCAGAACTGCTCTTAATACATGGCTGCATTGATCTTCACCCCTTTTTCCAAAAAAAACCCAGGAGTCTTGCCCATGGCACAAATCCCAGCCCACACCATCACCAACTGGGAAATGAGACCTGCTCACAGTTGCAGCTCCTGAGAGCAGTTCAGTCCCTAGGCACGTGTCAGCAGGGTGAATTCACTGAAGAAGGGTTTTCTTAAGACTTGGGATGACATTAAGGTCGAACATCTGACAGCCATTGTGGACAACTTTCCAAAGCATTTAAAAGCCTGTATCTCAGCTGACTGTGGACGTTTTGAAAAATCCTTATAGGATATTGTTGCCATATGTGCTTGTTATGTTTGATACAATTTTGATGGAATTTGGATAAAATACAGCAAAGTTATAGACAAAAATATCGCAGCAAGAACCTGTGGGGGTGGTGCAAAACTTTTTTTGATGTGTATAAAGGAGTGTCTATTACCTTACAACATGACCAAGTGCTACTGAATTACATCAAATGCCATGTACCTCATGCATTGAATGGACTCAAACGTCCTCTCTAGGTTAGCCTTGGTGCAACAGGAATCCAAGTGAAAACTGAACGATCTGATTACAAGTATGCCTTTACACAGGCTGTACTTGCTGGCACCTCAACAGTTTCCAGCCATTTTTCACTGTACCACTTTCTTTTAACAAGCTATAAATTAGACCATACCTTGTGTACTGTTTGGAGCGTTGGGCTCTCTCATCTGATATGCCGGGTTTCATGATGGTGTAAAAAAAATGACTGAAAGGATCAAGTAGAACAGGTGGTTGCGCAGGTATTTGAACTTTTTTCCTCTACTCCCAGACACCAAAGAACGAGTCCATCTATTACTTCTGAATTCTTTAAGAAGGCATCTTTCATCAACAACTCCGGTTTACGCCGTTGGTCATTCTATAAGTTTTGATTTCCCATTCTTGAGGGGACAGCAACGGATGCAGAACGGGTGACGTCATCGATAACATCACCAGCAGTGACCGCGACACGCGAAGGAGGCATCCAAGACGTGTCCGGGCACGCCCAGAACCCGCTCGCGATGCAGAAATTCCACCAATCAGGAACGACTCTCGAGTCCCGTGACTCATTAAGCCAGTCCCCAGTTAGCGCAGTACTGCGGATGATTTACTCTGCTGAAGCTGACGCCTAATCTAAACACGATAAATACGCCAACTTGCTACCCGACGAACGAGATAACATGAACTTCTTCGGTTTGTCTTAAGGCAGAAGCTGTGAACAAGGTTGCAAGCGCAGGGCGGGAGAGAACAAAGGCTGCTATATACTCTAAAAATGCAAATTTCTCGAGGTTTATTTGCGGACCGGCGGCAGAGAAACACTGCCAAAGTGCATGTTACTGATATTTACACTCGATAATCCGACCCTATCGACGATGCTCCTAAATGTTATTCTTCCGTCGGGGAATCCTTACAGAACAGAAAAGCCTTAGTCCGAAAGCAACTGGAAATTTGCGAGACCATCTGCAAATTTCAAGCATCCCCATTCGTGATTTCGTGGATGGGAAATGACGAACTTCATACTGTTGCTTTCTTCCAGATAAAAAAAATTTGCATTTTCACTTTTTTTATGATGCGAAGGCCAAGCCTCAATGCGCTTTTGATCTTTTTTTTTGGGGGGGAAGGGGAAACTCGGTCAGTAACTTTTGTGGGGCAGTGTAGTAACACGAGTCCACCGAAATTGGCAAAATGGCACGTGCCTTTCTGCAGAGCTTTTCTTCCTTGCTAGTCATGCATGAGAAAAATGACCCTTCGACCATGTATGAGGAGATTCTTTTAGAAAAACAAAAGGAGAGGAAATTTGTTTATCCTAAGAGCAAGGCCCGAAATGAGATTGTTTTCTTGGAGATGGGGGGACCGGCTGGGAAGACTTCCTCTTTCACAGTGCCTCTTCCCTACGAAAGAGGCATTGTAAAATATAAAAAAAGGGGGGGGGGGGGGCTGAACAAGCCCTCGTAAGATTTCTGTCAGTCTTGTGCCGACCGCGTGAAAACTGGACGCCCTTGAATAGATGCCGTAGCGGATGGCACCTCACCGCATTCCGAGCAACGCCTCTTTGCTCTGAAGTGAAACGTCTGAGCTTCACGGGGAGATATCACGTCTCGCCCCCATTCACAAATGAGTTTCTTGGGATGATCCCTTGGAGAGCGAAGAGGAGGAACCGCGGGCGCGGACGGGCAGAGAAAACTCTTGCGTGGGCTTCGAAGGGAGGACCCTCCTCTTCGCTCTTTCGCAGCACGTCCCCGTGCGATTCTTCACGAAGTCTCGAAACCCCTTATGCCACCAGGCATAGATGACCGGATTCAAGAGAGAATTCACCTGGCCCAACACGGGCAGCACGGTCGCGAGGGCGGACACGACCGACTTGCACCCCTCGCGCCCGCACGCGGCGTAGACGAGCGTGGCCAGGAAATACGGCATCCACGTGACGAAAAAGGCGCCGACGATGGCCAGAACCACGAGAAAGGCCCGTCGTCGGAACTTGCTCTTGACACGGCGTTTCTTGCAGGCCCGGACGAGAACCACAGCGTAAATGATCGCGATGGTCGAAAACGGCACGAGAATCCCCATCACCGTGACGAAAATCAAACACGACCGCGTCGCGATCAAAACGTAAATGCAATGCGTCGCAACCCCCGGCTCCCTCCACCCCAAGGCCGGCAGAAACCCGAAGACGAACGCGAGGAGCCAAATGACCCCGATGCAGACTCCCGCCCGCCGGCCGTTCATGTGCTGCGAGTAGGTGAGGGGGCAGACGATGCTGATCAGACGGTCTGCGGACACCATGACCACGCTGAACGCCGAGGCCATGATCGATCCCACGATCAATCCTGCATCGATTCAATTATTAAAATACTCATTCATGGATTGCCTTTCAATTCGGAGCCATGACTTCAGAGAATACGGCGCTGCCTACCGCGGTTCATTGAGAACCAATAAATTTCAAAGAAATAAAATCAACAGGGAAAAGTAACTGCCATGTATAGCTGTACTTAAAGGACATAAAGGGCATTTTTAAATGGAAGTCAGCTAACTTTTCAGTGAGACCGCTATTATTAATCTTCAAGTAGGACATGCAAGATAATCTGTACTCATCTTTTGATACCGATAAAAAGAATTATATATACCTTTAGAATTCGTTAAATTAAGATTCTCTCCACTAGGGTGATTCCATATTCAAGTGCAGGTCTATTGGTGAAGAAAAAGACATTCTCACCGAGAGAAACGAGACAAAGGGTGGCAGTCCTGCTCTCATTCGGATAAAACTGGCCGAAAAGCACGAAGCCGGCGGCGAGGCAATCCGCGAGGGCGAGATTCCCCATGAAATGATAGGTGCATTTCCCGCCGTGGAGACCCCGGAGCGTGATCTTCGCCGTGGACACCAACACTCCCCCGTTGAGGACGATGATCAGGGAGGTCACGATGGGGATCAAGATGTCGTAGAGCAGGTAGGGCGCGTCTTCTCGGCCCGAGGTGCCCGATCCATCGCCTTCATCCATGACTGGGGAGCGTTTCGATCTGCTTTTCTCGGGGAGGAGAGGGCGGATGTCAAGCGATACTGTTTTCCCGATGACACACACGCACACAGACGCACGTCCTGCGGAATTCCCTGAAAACAATACTATCGGACCCTTTTCTACTGCATCCACGTCACATTATCCGGCGGAGAGGGAGTGAGAAGAAAAAGTGAGAAACGAGAATAAATAAACATTTTCCCGTTCCTTTGTCAAACACTGACTTGGGACCGTTCCACCCTCTAATTCATCCTAGATACACAGCGACTGGTGCCTTCTTAAGCACAATATCACGAAGAGCTCACTCAGAAATGAGAGGGTCTGCGTGGCAAGAAGGATTCCCCTACCAGGGAAGACAGTTTGGTTCAGGGTCAAATGATACATGGATATCCGCCCTTGACCTTTTCATTCTTTACCCCTTCCATCCACTCCTTATCCCATGGGGATTCCCAGGAGAGAAAATGCGGAGTCACAAACCATTTGAATCATCTTTTTATTGTACAATTCCTTGTCAATAGTGAAAAGAAATCCCCCCCGCGGGAATCAATCTCGAAAACCGGTAACCTCACCATTTCATCACTCCAGAGTTTAACGAACGGATCAATTTTACATACTGTCATTTCCTTATTTCATTGCACTGAATCGTTAGTTAAATAACCTAACGGATGAAAACAGACTATGCTGAAAACCCTGCAATGATAAAATTCATTCAAGTACTCTCAGCAATTATATCTTGGTTACAATGGTACATCCTAGAATTAACTTATATAATTACACAACCAATTCTCCTCCTGCAGGCAGATTACATAAGGAATGCATAGTACACTTTGATTGAGAAAATTGTTTCATAGATTCAATTAGGTTCAAGGTGCCCAAATCAATATTTATGGATACATGAATATTCCCATCCTGTGTCATGTGTGGAAACAGGTTTGACACCATATCGATGGATTTCCATTCCAAAGTTCCTAAGAACTACACGGAGTTGCACAGTGAAATTTGTCTTAAAGGCACAGATTTACCGGGCTTCAAAACACAGTGGTACAGCAACAATTAATAGTACACCTAAAGTAGGTTTTCCATCATGAGCAGATGTTCCAGAAATATTTAATAGCTACATGGAGAAATGTGAAGTTGTCATGGATGTAGAGGTATAAAAGTATAAAAGTCTATCATGGAAAACTGTGCAACAATTAATAAAATAGTGAGCTACACACCCAAGTAGCTCATGTAGTAAGTGCCTACCTCATTGTCTTGGGTAAGAAATTTCACCCTTGTCCTCTTCATATTGCATTTAGCATTTAGTTAAGGTATGCAAAGAAATAACTTCACTCAGTGATTTATTAGTGAAAAGTAGGGTATGCCATTGGCTTCAAAATCAAGATTACCTCTATCCCACATTCTGTCCAACACATTGGACTAAGTGCATCTTATCGTTAAGGAACGAGAAATGTAATGCTATTTAGTGACCAAGTGCAGGCACACATTATCTTTAAATTAGCAACTTATAGAAACAAGGAACAGAAGTGAAATTTTCTATTTGAAAACAATAAACTCGACTACAGGATTACACTGTCTGCTGCAAGATATTTGGATTCAACCACACACACAAATAAATATCCCAATAGCCAAAGAACACCTGCACCTTTCAATCAGTCCTGACAGTTGGGGGTTTACAGCACGTAAAATCCCAGTGAATGAAATTTGAGTCAAAATTACTTTGCTTCCATAACTAAAACTGACATTCGCATTTATGCAAGGCAGAAATGGCTGCCTTCCTTGTCTAAGATAATGCTCATTGCATTGATCAGTGGGTTTTGATTGGCTTTAGTCATGCATTTTAGGAACTCAAGTCTGATTTTTTGCTCAAGTTTTTTTTTTCACTAAACCATTTCATTTTCTGCCTAATTGGACACATGATCATACCCTACAAGTCAACAAAAAAACCACATACCCATATGGCATTCTGATGAATACTTGTACAGAAAGCTTTGAAGAAACTTAACATTATACAATAAATATCACAAGAAAGCAGAGTTTTGTTTTTGGGAGAGGGAACTAGACACATTTTCCTTTTGTGCGAGAAACTCATTTTAAATAATAAAATTATGTATGCCTACCCCATACAACTTTTCAGAGTTGAATAATCCAGCAAGGCAAACAAAATTTTCCTTGAGATGATAAAAAAAGTCTGTTCTTTGAAATTATGAGATCATACAAGAAGATTGCAGTAAGATGACCTATACAAGTAATCATGAGTTTTGGAAAGGAAGACAATATGTCCTCATGCCGTGAAACTTGAGTGGTAGCTGATACCAATTTTCAGGAGCAGGGGAAAAGGCTGGAGGGCATTTGAATGGAGAATCTACAAAGACTTCAATTGGATTTAACTGCGAGGTACTCTGAAGGCTTAGTTCCACATGATGCACTCTCTTTTTCTTCATCTGGGCCTCTTTGGAGAAATGAGGCCTTGAGATTAGACCAGCATTGCCAGCCTTTTCATGTAATACCTCATTGAGCTTCAGCATGATGTACATGTTGGTCCTGGTCAGAGGCTTTGAGAAGACCTTATTCAGTTCCTCAGATGTCACCAGATGCCTGTTATAGTCAAACAACAATTTTTACTTTATTTTAATAAAGACCTCAATGAAAAGAGGTGCAGCATGAGTCATCCACCCTACCTGAAGAGTTGCCTGAGAACGCATCCACGGACTTCTGCAGCTTGTTGCCAGGATGTTTGCATTGGGGAGGCTATGCTATACATCTCTTTTGGAGTAAATATTGTACTGCCAAGCACTATCATCAGCTCCTCCATGCTTGCTGAAAATAGGCTAATCACCTCATCAATATCCTGGTAAAAAGAAAATAATAATAAGTAAAATACATTGCAAACTGAGCAGATATCCCATTTTTAATTTATATCATAAGTGAAAGCAAAATAATATGAACTCTGTGAAGCTTACTTCATGCTCCTGCTACACAGCAGCTGAACTGCAATTTTGCAATGCAACACAAAATTGCTATATAGCAGCTAGATACAGCATCCTGTGTGACAAAAAATTTGGGGCTTGATTGGTATGGTGGACACTGTGTAAGGTACCTTGACTGGGGCAGGTGAACACCATGGCTACCATAGCCAGTAGCAAATAATTTATTTTCTCAGCTCTTATTCCACCAGCAGTTGTTTGTTTATACATGCATGAGCTGCACCATATTGAGCCTCCACAACAAACAGGATCCCTTCTGGACAGTTTTAAATGTCATCCAATGGAGTGACACCTGTTGCCTTGATGCAACTACTCCTAGGTAACTAAATAAGTGACCAACAGTACTGTTGTCCTTCCTCAAGAATGAACTTTAAAAACAATAATTTAGCATTAAAGAACAGTTCATCTAAGTGAATGTACTCCCATGGCCCATAAATCAATATATTCATCCATCTCATCCATTCTCATCCATTCTCATCCAAATTAGCAAAAAAATTTGCAGTTCAGCAATGGAACTGTCTTGCCTTGCTATCCATCCTCAAATGTCAACAGACTCTGACTCTGCCCTCCTCTGATCCACCCCCTTCCAGGGGCACTGCGACACTCACACTTGTCACTCCATCCATAATAGGGGGAATTCCATGGTGTCTACACTTGTAAATGCTACAGGGTCCATGAGCTAGCTCAGTGTCCATGTAACTGATTTGGTGCAAAGCAAGTGTCCACCAACCCAATTAAGCCCAAAATTTGTGCTCAACAGCATGATGGATTAAATAGAAACCACGTGTCATAAAAAATGCAAAAGAACATGCCGTCCAGCAAAGGTAGAGCTGCATCTGCTGAAAGGAGAGTGTAGTCATCCATTTATAGACTGCTGCTTTGTACAACTTTCAGCACGCCATACAACTTGAGTAGGAACTAGGCCTGGATTAGAAACAATGTAGCATCAAAGGCAAGCTTACCTTTAGCATTCTGCTGATGTCACCTGTTACTCTCATGATATCCCTGAGATACCTTCCATTCATCTGATTTGCTTTTTGCCGCTTCTTCCTGGTAACCTGTAAAAACACGGTAAGAATAAATTGTTCCACCCTTTGAACTAGGCCTAGTCCTAAGTTAGGCCAAGTCCTAAGGCAAAAATGGTAAAAAACTCACATGATCTTTCCTTCTGGTGCTGCAGTCCTCTGAGTTAGAACCCCTCATTGGGATATCACAGCTTTTGATATCACCATGTGGACTAAAGGCGGAAGAATTCCAAGATGGAGCAAAATCGGAAGGGGAATTAGGCCTAACATCAGGCTGGCACTGGGTAGATACGCCAGATAGTGAAGGTTTTGAAGCAGTCACGTACTCGACTGTCGTGCGATTCATTTCTCGAGCTAATTCGTCCACGCTCATGGGAATCTGATTTCTCATCCAAAGGACATACTTCATTACTTCCTGGGCGATGAGGGAGAAAGTACGGGGGCAGAGTTTTTGCGCAAATTCCACGTGAAGACGAGTCACTTGGCTACAACCTGCGTTCGGCGACATGGTCCTTTTGAAATACGCCTCTCCGTGACGTCATGACTTGACCAACATGGCGTCGTTCAAAAGTGCGATAGTCCACGTGCTCCTGCTGCTGCCGGGCCCTGATTTGTCCTTCATTACGATCATTTATGTCCATCCTTTAGATCCTAATTTGCTTTTCGGTTCCGCTATTCCTGAGTCCAACGGGTCTTCATTTGGCAACTGCATTTCACCAAGTTGCTTTGTAGACCAAGTAGATTAGACTGCGTGGGGATTGACGCTGGCTACTCCAGGACTGACCTGGATCCAGTTATATCCAAGGCAACATAGCTGCTATTCTTTTCATATCCCATCTGCTTGTCGCATCCTTCGAGAGCGAGAGCTGACAACCCATTGGCTTACGGCTCGGACGTCAACACCCAACGTTGTTGGTTCGATCGCTGCCCGCACGCGCTTTGTTCTTATTTCCCTCCTTTATCTTTCCTCATTCGCTTCAACTGAGTTTCGAACAGTTAGGAAGTCCGATGGTTGGGTGTCATGATGGAAAAATGGCCCTAAAAAGCAATGAACTTGCTATAGATATAATCAAAATCTTCAGATTATTACTAATAATGAGTGAATAATAATAGCGAGTGAATGCAAAGAAATCAACTCATACCTGCATACATCCCATACAACACATACACCCAGAGAAGGACTCTGAACTTCTGGAGGAAGTGAACCATGTGCATTCTAAACATTTTGCAGGTCTAGGTTTTTCATCCAAAGCCTAAATATGTCAGGATGAAAAAATTCTGAATAGGCCTATTTTGTTCTCAGCCAAGGAGGCTTTTGTGTTTAATATTATACTGAATTAATTTCCAGTGGTAAAATTAACTCATAATTCTCTCACTCACCATGAAAAAAAGTTGAATTGTACTGAAAAGCATTGTATGTCCATGTCAGAACAATGAATTGAAATATAAATTGCCTGCTGTATTGAAGATGGACCCTGGTTAAGCTAGATTTTGTGAATAGGTTGTAGCAGTACTTATGCACCACCAAACCAAAATGAAAGAATAAATCATAAAGGCAGCATCCAGACCATAATCCACAAAGAAAGAGCACATACTAAGTCCTGTTGACTTTGCCATCTTGAAACCTACAATGATACAGATATAGATGCAATTATTTAGATGCATTATGTTCTTTTGAAATTATATCCTTTTTAAATATGAACATATTCACAGGCAAAGTTTACTTTTTCATGAAAATCTAGAAATATATTCTTACCATAAAAATTGGATTTCATGAAAGGAAATCCAGGTAACAATATATATTGGGTCATCCGGAAAGTTCTGCGGTTTTTTTAATGACAAATCCAAGATAGCATTCTGAGAACGGTACAAACCTTTACTGAACAAGGTATGCGCCATTTTGTTTGATGACCTTTTGCCATCTCTCGGGTAGTTGGAAAATCCCCCTCTCGTAGAAGGTCCTGGGTTTGTTGGCGAAGAATTCATCGAGGTGGGTTTTGACAGCCTCCAAAGAATTGAACTCCACGCCGTTCAGGGAATTTTGTAGGGNGATACACGAGCGAGAAGATTGCGCTCTGTTAGAGTATGCGGTACCCAAACATCGTATCGGCTTACGTAGCCAAGCTTCTTCAGATGATCATGTACGGTGCTTTTTGGAATGTTTAATCTCCCTGCCAGTTCTTGCACTGAATAACGAGGGTTTTCGGCGATAGCTTCCTTCAGTAGATCCTCCTTGACAGTGGAGGGACGCCCAGATCGCGCCTCGTCTTTGAGACTGAAATCGCCGTGTTGGAACTTCACAAACCACCTCCGAACTGTGTCATCAGAAACAACACCTTGTCCATATACTGCACAAATTTTACGGGCTGTCTTGCATGCATTCTTGCCTTTCTTGAAATAAAAAAGCATTATATTGCGAAAATGTTGCTTTTGGTTCTTCATCTTCACCCCAGCACAGAATTGAACCTACTACGCAATATGTTAACAGAATGGAAAAATACTGTAGAGGAAAATCTGGCTTTTCTTATCAGGCGAGAAATCAATGTCCTCTCTTGAAGCATCAACTCGAAATTCGAGCCGATGCGTGCGTGGGTTTGAAAAACCGCAGAACTTTCCGGATGACCCAATATAACAGTTCTGCAATTCACCACTGTCTAGCACAAGTCATCTGTGACTTATGAGTCCTAGGCTAAGAATCCCTGGGGTTTTGTGACCGATTGAAGGTAATATAGCTAAAATTAGCCTCTACACCCATCATAAAGTGTCTTTTATTGGTCATTTTGATTTTTTTGTTTCTGCATTGCAGATAGCTTATCTTGGGCATAGTTTGATGAAAATGGCTCCTCAATACAATATCTACTTGTGTGGTAGCATACGAGGAGGGAGACAGGATGTGCAAATTTATGGAAAGATTGCAGAAAAGCTGAAGGAGTATGGCACAGTTCTGACACCTTTTGTGGCAGACCCAAATGTGCGCGATGAAGGTAAGGTTGACAGGTATAGGCTTATGTCTGTAAATCAAATTATTATTTTCCATTACAGATCAATGATTCAAAGAGAAGTAGGCCAAACAGTGTAGTTTTTTATGTGACTGTCAGAAGTAATAATGCAACAAGACCCACTGTAACCAAAAATAAATCAGGCTTCTTTTGTGTATGAATAAAGTAATAACAAAAGGCCTATGTATGATACACTACCATTGATTAGGATTGCTGCAAAGTCAGGGAACTAATCTAAAAGCAAGGTGCCAGCCTTTTTGGATTTACTATGTATGGAATGGATGTACTATGGAATGTAACAATTTTAGGCAATAAGCTCTATTAGTTTTAAATTGGTAGTCATTTGTACAGGGTGGCCCAAAAGTAGGTATACAGTTGATGATTTATTTAACAGCACTTACACATGACATGGAATTATGTGAAAGTTAATCCCACAGGTGTTCAAATTGAAACCCGTTGCTGTTCACACAATCCTGGAATCTGCCCGCCACACTTCTGCAAACTTTCTGTCAAGTCTTTCTGTCCATCAAGTTCTGTAAATACATATGTGGTGTACCATTTCATTTCGTTAAAATTCTGTGGTTTCTTATCGTACACTTTGTCCTGTACATTTTATTCCACTACCTTCTGACAGTCTCAGCATTTTCTGATTTCCAATAATGTTTCAGCACCCTCTTCCATTGGCCATTAGTCAGGTTACCAGTCATTATCACCTACCCTAAAGAAAAAAAAACAATTTAATAGATTCAACATATACAACTGTATACCTACTTTTGGGTCACCCTGTATATGTAGACTATTTGTATAAATGAGGAAACCAGTTCCAAGATTCATAGATTGAATGACTCAAGTATTTGCAAATTTTAAAGTTAGGAGGTAGAAAAGAGATTTAGAAAACAATTTTTGCAATTAATAAATGTCAACCTCAAGTCCTCATGAGTGGAGGGCTGCATTGAGCCTGAAAGGCCATTGTGTGGGCTGTGTTGGATAATCCTCCTTCAATTCCAGCTCCCTTCCCCTTGTTACATGTTACATTGGGAAGACTTCCCAAGTCCTATGGAGAAGGATATGAAGCTAAGAAAAATTTTTAGTGGTTAGCTGTTCCAGTGCTTATGCACAAGCTTTTTATACCCTAGCCCTTTGGGATCATATTTTTAAATTAAAATTCACAGCTAGAGATACAGCCCTTTAGGGAACTTTATGAACTAAAGTTCAATTGCCATGGCAACCTCTATGGCAGTGCTAGACACCACTGCCAGACCTTCATGCTGCTCACACTGCAGACTGGAATGTTCTAGCTCCCATAATTTGTCTTCAATTAGCTTTTAGCTTAAAAGTGATGTATTGATGATGTATACCATCAAATGATGCCCAGGGCTTGCTAGAATGGGTCCTGTCTGGGTAATGGATATTTCCTCAGTGTCATTTGATGGAGTGTAATAAACTGAAAATTAAGTTCAATTCAACGAATCAGCTAGAATTCTGTTGAATACAGCAATCAAATGGAATCAGACTACTGCACTGCCACCAAAATATTCTGGCAAACCATCCAAAGGTAAAAAATAAATCTAGAAAATGCCAAACTCTTGGTATAGAGGGTTTTCTCTTCGCTTGCAAGAGCCAAGTGAGCTGAAATACCTCTTTCTTTGCCCCTCCTCTCAACAGAGAGAAAAATGCTTTCCCCCTCCAAATCTCCAACAATTCTTGCAGGCTGAGGTTCACCATGGATGCATGAAAGACAAACTGAAGTAAGGTATGAAAGTTGGTTTCCCAGCCCTTGATGTGATCAGTGCATGTCTCCTTTTTTCAAATCCTTTCCTGCATTCACCCTTTCTTGATAATTTTTTGAGGAAGGGTGGAATGGGACTTTGATCTCAGGATAGAGAGAAAGGACAGACTTGAGTATTGCTAGTCGTCATGGCTTGAAGGCAAGAAAAAATGACATGGGAGAGTAAAATGAAAGTGGAAACTGGCTTATCAGCTGCCAAGACCTAATTTTCTATGATTTCCACTCCCAACCACCTCCCAGTTATGATTCTAGTCCACTTCTTCATTTTGTACTGATGCACCATAATCCTGGACACAGATGCATCAATACATTGTGACAGGTCTAGAAAGCATGCCCTCTACCATTAGTTAATAAGTATTTCTGGGCAATGAAGCTTGGATCTAAAGAAAAAAAGTTCAGTTCTTTAAAAGTAGAATCAATAGACATGCATGTGACAATGCTTCCAAGTAAATGTCTCTGCACAGTTTTTTCTTTCTTGTTTCCATCAAGTTGGAATAGGAAAAATTGGGGGGGGGGGAGGAGGAGGTTCAGTTGCTTTCCAGGAAGTAATACATCCAGTAACTTGGTAGGTCCAATAGTGTATCAAGTTAATGCAAGCTTTCTAAAGGACTGAGATAAGAGTGTGATATGCAGTGGTTCCAATTCTCTTTGTACTAGCTGCATATTGCTAGGAACTAGGGAGAAATTGTTTCACACATCTTTTGAAGTGATCTTTATGGATTGCACAGTATTTGTATTCTCTGCTCCTAACTTTTGAAAGATGTGTCACAGGACAGCAGGGAGTTAACAAGAGACTATGCAAAATGTGCAAGTCATTTTGAAAGAAGTGCTATGCATTTTTCAACTATAACTCAGCAATCCCCAAGAAGTATGAAAGCTCACTGAAAGACACTATGTAAGTGAACTTTTATTTCTCCTAGAAGACCTAGATGACAGGGCCATCTTTGAGAGGGACAATGGTCTTATGGCACAAGCTGATGGTGAGTTTTTGGGTACATGATGCTAGAAAGCTGGATCCTGATCCTCTCTTCAAGTTCATATCATTTCAATACAGTATTGGTTGCTGAAGTGACAGTGCCATCCCTTGGAGTTGGAATGGAACTGGGATGGGCTTTGAGAGATAAAAGAATACCAATCCTTTGCTTGTACCGTCCTCAAAATGGTAAAAGTAAGTATTTACCATCATTCTGTACTGGTAAGTCTTTTGATAATGCATGTATCTTTAATTGGATGGAATCAAGAGTTGAATCTCCCTTGCCCAAGAACTATCAGCCTTGGTGAGAGGGTTAGCAGATGGCAATACAAATCAGGTAAAGGACTACAAAGAAGAGGAGCTGGATCAGATCATAGAAGACTTTTTCAACATCCTAGCTGTGAAAAATGTTGCAGAATCTGGCGACAAGTGAGAAGTTCGTTTGTAGAACACACCAGGAATCACTTTCTGCCTACCCCATGTTGATTCCAGTCTTACTATTCATTCCTGTTTTCTTTTATTATTATTTGTTCCTACTTCATGATTATGATTAAAGGATCTGGTATTGACACTGGCAGCTGCACTGATTGCATTTTTTTCTTCTATGTATCAGGGCATGGTTGTGCTTTCCTTAGTTCTAACTCCAGAGTTGAACTTGTCCTGTGATTGGCTGAGCATGTTTTATATGTTGCATTTTTCTTTTTCTTTTTTAACACCCAGTTTCTGAGTCAATGAGACCAGTTACGGGGGGTGGGGTAGAGACCAACCCATCCCGACAACCATATGTAGAGGAAGCTGAAGAAGTGGGGCTTCCTTCAGTACCCTCAGTTTTAGCCATTTCCTTTTTGTAGACGAAGATATGAAGGAGAGAAGGGTGAGGTCCACCACAAAAAAAAACGGAAAAACTTAAATGGCCGGACCTATGTCGGGGGTTACATCGCTGTTGTCAATTGCGAAAATGTAGTAATTGAATTCTTCTGAATGACGTTGCTCTTTTTCCGTGCTTGTATTTGTATTTTTCCCGAGTTTCCCCTCTTCCAGCGCTCCAGCTCGTTTCTTTCTTTTTTTTTTTTTGACCGAACAATCAACAACGATGAGCGCAGAAGCTTAGTCCAGCACAAAACTTACATGCTTATGCCAGGTGGTAAAGTGTGCCACTTGCATTAGATGTAGCAGGTGCGGTATCATGATGGAAAACCGGTGGAAGTGAAGCTATCGCGCAAAAGGGGGTATGTATGAGACAGAAGCTAAATAGGTCAAGTGAACGGCTTTGCGAGTTCCTATTAATGCTTGCTTGATAATAGGACGTGAAAACCCAGTGTTATGCTTGGCGCAGCGGTGGGGCCAACTCTCTTCCGATGGCGCTTGTGACGAGGGGTTCACTTCACTGAAGGAAACAAGTTGGGCAAGCCCAGTCCAGTAGTGGGCCTCCGTTCAGTTAAGGAAACCCTCATTTTGTCACCTAATTGAACAAAATGCCATCTCTTTCCGGTTTTCGACCATCAAAACCCAAATTTCTCACTTATATTTGGTAAACATAGGCAAACGGTCCCCATGAAACGGCGATGGGAGGATGCGTGGTTGGATCTATCCGCCACCAATGTTGGTAGGGAACTGACAGCTCACACACGGCGACGCGCCCAAAGCCTGGGTCCTTCGCTCCATCTTGCACTCTAGCTTGTCGCACACTGTGCTCCAGAACCTGAAGTTGCTCACGGGTACTCATGCCTTCCCCTCCGCGACAAAATTTCAAATCCAAAATTTACAATGAAAATGCCAATTTTTATGCTAAATCGTCATAAAACGATCTCAGTCTGTATCTTATTCATATCTATCCGCTTGCCAATTTCACATTGATCACGTCAATATTTATTTAGTTATCGTCGGACAACCAAAGTGTGACGCACGGCCAGACAGGACGGGACCATAAGTGGTCTCTTTCAGGTAAGGAGGCCCACTAAAAAAGGTGTTTTTTTTTTGGTTTGAGATGATGGGCTTTCCGAATACACTTCTCCCCTTTGTGTACAACTATTACCGGAATGACTTGGTTCTCGTAGCACCCACCAAAATAGCTTGTTTTGGTCTCATTGACTCCGGGACTGGGTATTAAATAAAAGATAGTTCCTGGTATGCTTTGGAAATAAATGTGGTATGCTGAAGGAAGTTGGAAGTTCTGTTGGAGACAGCATGTTTTCATTTGACACCTGTAAATAGCAAGTGCAAGAAGTTTTATCATGTCTAGAAAGAAAATTTTGTTGGTTGCTTTCTGGTTACCCCTAACTCCTTGTGCATAGACAATGTGAAAGTCAATCAATTCACCATCAGAGGCTACTGCAGCCAGAGACAGTTGGAAAAAATGGGTATACTTGAATTGAGTAATTGCCCTTAACTAGTGATCAATGGCATCCATTGGACCAGCATACCGGTTGGCACGTAAAAAACATGCCGGGGTTTTAGCTTTTGTTTCTCAGCTTCCAGATGAAGCTGAAGTCTAAAAATAATATCAAGTATAGTTTATCCGGTCCAACTTAGCCACACCTTTAATCCTCAAAGGAGTCGTTAAATGCCATCCATCTTCTCCCTCGAGGGCAGAGGGTGACTTCCCCTTGACCCCTCCGCCAGACACAGGCGCGACGCCTCTGGGGGAGCATCACGTATAACGATATTATATGAATGATGTTAGAAATCTTGATAAGATGCCTGACGAGTGCCAGGAACACCTAGGTCGGCCACTGATAACCTCGAGCCCCTTTCCGACGTTTTGACAGGCTGATGACAGCACAAAATTAATGAGCTACCTTAAAACAGGCGTTGCAAAGTTGGACCGGCTAGACTACAGGGTGATTCAAAAGTCTCCTACCTTTTTTTTGGTGCCGTATATGGTATCAATCGATACCATATACGGCACCAAACTGCTCAGGAGGAGGAGATAAATCGAATGATACCATATATGATACCAAATAAATGTAGGTGACTATTGAATCACCCTGTACATATTCCTCTGAAAAAAGTTTATTGCTATATATTTCTGGTACATTTTATATCAGAATACACCGCAGCGCTGTTCGAAATGTTTCATATTATGCCTCGACTTATCCGGAAAGACGCACAATGGAACCTCCTTCGGCGTTGCATACAGAACATAAGCGCCTTCCATGAAGTAATGGACTTGCGGATCGCCTCCACGGTGATCTCATTCAATGCTGGCTCTCCGTTCAGCAATGAAGTAATCCATCTTGGATCGCTCCACTCACCAGCTAGACTTTTACCGCCAAAAAAAACGTCATGCTGCACTTGTGCTGTAGCCCTTCCGCACCGTGCGTGATATGAAAAAATGTCTAGATGTCAAACAGTCACTGTGGGTGTTCTCTGGTAGCTATAAATGTATGGTTTTCATAGGGCTGAGAGGAAAAATATAAATGCGTGTGTGGTTTATGCGATTTGAAGGTCTCTATCTCATCTGGAAGTTTAGAAATAAACGCGAAAAAAAATATGGGCGCTTTTTTTTTTAACTAGTAATTTGGTATTTCAGAAACCACTACTGAATGAGATCTAGGACTAAAAAAATCTTCCTCGTTGAAGTTCTTACCTATTTAAAACTAGGGAAGTTACCGATGAACCGGTATTCCTCAAGAGGATACCGATATAACCGATACCGATAAACCGATAAACACGGTGAATGTCTCACGGAGTCCAGTGTTATTATCCCACCGGACTAAAATGACGCTGAAACGGAAGTCATTTCCACTTCCTAAAGTAAAACTGAGGGTGGCATCCATTATTGTTTCATATATTCAGTCACGTTTTGGCGCCCTTGGTGAATTTGCGCCCTGTGCGGGGCACACGTGGCACATGCCTGAGGCCGACCCTGGGCCAATCTGTAGCTTTTGTAAAAGGAAAGGATATGAAACTCTCATCTTTTGACATTGAAAGTCGGATCAAGCATAAAAGGAGGAAGTGCGTGGAGAGATAATTTCTGACCGAAAGTCGGCAAAGCATTTCCTCTCGTTCGCAAACCAGAATCCCCAGAATGTATCCGAAGGGAACTATCGTGCACCCACATACCTCAGGGCGTATAAAGGCAAAAGGAGCAGGCCCGAATGCAGAAACCTCTTTTACTTTATCCGGGCAAGGTATTTTTGTGACACAAACGGGCAAGGCCAAACATTTTTAGAATTTTTTTCCTTTAAAGCAAATCCAAACTTTAAAAGTTCGTTTCTGAATCTATGGATGACTGTCTATGGAACCCATATCAAATTTGAAGAATATTTTGAAAAATTTGCAGAGAGTAATGAAATGAAATACACCCTGGGGAGTTCAATGGACTCCCCTTGCCCGGATAAGGGTTAAGGTCCAATTTTATTTCGCTTAAAGAGGATTCAGCATTCGGGCCGGAATATATATCTGAAGCAACAAAAGTGCGCACGCACGAACAAGGAGCACGATACAAACACGAGACTGCGGATCGTCCAAGGAATGGAGACGTCCAGTCGGCAGCGAAGGGTGAGAAGTGACCGTAGAAGGCGGGAAGGAGGTAATGATGTCGCTGGGCCGATCGGAGGGGACCGAGAGCATTGCGTTTTTGCTCGACCTAGTTTGGCATTCGAGTCGAATGAGTGAAATTTCCCGCGGGAGCGAACGTGCACGTACACCTCGCGCGGGATTTTCTCCGTTCGGTCCGTTCTCGGCGAACGGGAGTGGCTATCGCACACATCCCTTGCGGCGCGTCTCTCCCGTGGTTTTCCGTAGATATCTTTTTTTTTGTTGTAGATATCTCAGTGGTTCTCAACCTTTTTTGGCTGCGACCCAAGTGCTAGCTCCGCAAGCTTTGAATTCAGACTGCAGTTTTTCAGCATTTATCGGACCGATAGGAGGAAAGGCACGTTTGGGTAGACTACAAAGGAAAGTTCCGAC